AGATTGGAGAGCTTCTAGTGCATTGCTTAGTGTTCTAGCATCTTGTGGCACTAGTTGGGTGATTTGGGCTGGTGGAGAACTTATTACTCTTGGTTTTTGCTGACACCTAGATGCCCCGGTGATTGGTGGATCGTTAAGCGGCTATTGGTGATTGTTGCTGGCTCCGATCATTGAGCTTGTGAGGGGTTCTTATGCCTTCCCCGTGGGAGATCACGAAAGGCAACTCTAGTGGATTACGCATGGCTTGTGGATCCTTATCTTGTGTTGGTTGTGTGGCACCCGGTTGCGGGTTAGGCGTGTGATGCCTATTAGCATGTGAACCTCCAAGTGAGTGAATCGCCACAACGGGGACTAGCTTGTCGGCAAGCAAGTGAACCTTAGAGGAAAAATCATTGTGTCATCATTGTCTCCTTGGTATTCATTGATTGATCACTTGCCACAGCGGTATATCTCCTCTACCACTCTCTTGTATTACATTGTGTATTTACTTTGTGTAGAGCTTGTGGTAGTTGTAGCTAGTTGTGTAGCTTAGCTTCTTAGTTGTATTTAGTTTCTAGCTAGCTCAACTAGTGTAGAGAGTAGCGACATATCCCTTGAGTGCGCAGTGATCATAATTAACTAGAATTATTGGTAGGTGGCTTGCATTTTTAGTAGGATAGTGATGATATCCTAACATATGGGTATGTTAAGCCTTGGGTCCAATGATTCCTGAACGAAGAAGACCCCCCGGCCGACCCCTCTAGGATTGCCTGGAGGCTTGGGGGCTATACCCATTGGGTACGCTCGGGCGCACCCTCTAAGAAGAAACCCTATCAGGCCTGATTCTGCCGTGACCTCTGCCTAGGGCTTGGAGGCTCGCCTGAGCCCTAAGGCACCCGATCTACGCCGACGCTCCGGTCTGGCCCTTGGCTCCTACCCCACCACCGACGACAGCTAAGGCCCGGGCACAAGAAGACAAGCCCCGAGCTACCGAGGCTCAGGGGCTCCCTGACGCTGCCCCTTAGGCACGACATTGCTGGCCACTTTCCTGACAAGGTCAAGAACAGGGCGTGACACAAGAAGACAAAGCTTCCCAGCGGCCTCCGGGGGCTCAGGGGCTCCCGAGCCCAAGTGTCAGGCCTTGGTGTCGACCTCCTTCATCACCAAGAAGACTCTAGAAGGTCCACCCAGGGGATGTCGGTCCAAGCTGACATAGTCTGACACGAAGGGTGTTAGAACAGAGCAGCCGGATGACGCCCAAGGCTTCTTCGGCTCCACGACACCGCCACAGTCCACAGCGCATCGCTGCAAGGCCCTCTTGGACTCTGGCGCTTGTAGACTGTAGACTAGCTCCCCCAAATCGCCATGTACCCGACCTGTCTTGTTATATAAGGGATAAGGTCGGACCTAGGAAAGGGGGAGAGGAGGAGGAATGATCATCAGAAGACATTCCATTCCTTGGCCTTTGCTTAGCACCGAGAGCAAGGCAACCCATGGAGGGGCACCGAAAGCTCCTCCACCACATCCCGTCGCCTTCCTCCTCTCTGACGAGGGGAAGGCCCCACCGGCGGTGAGGCAACCTTAGGATTAGCACCGAGCTAACCCCCTACCAAATCTCTCTACAACCCTGTTGTAACCCCCGATTTTGGGTGCTTTTGAGCATAAGGATCATCAACTGCTGGACGTAGAGCATCGATTAGCCCGAACTAGGATAAACCATTGCGTCCTCTCTGTGATTCTCTTGTTCTTGAGTCCACCCGAGCCACCGGAGACCTGTACTCTGACACCGACTCGAACAACATGCTTGCCGCGGTTCCGACCCTGCGACAGCTAGCGCAACACTCGCTTCGCCGTTTAATTATCTAACCAAGTTGCTTAAGTGTTGTAGAATTTTTATAGGCTATTCACCCCTCTCTAGCCATTTAGGACCTTTCACATGATTTACTTTGACGAATAGGTCCTCCTTAATAGTTTTCTGATGAAATCCTCCTGCATTCACAGATTCACCAAAGCTTGTGGAATTCACTAGTTTAAACCCCTAGACCTATGTTTGGTGATGGAATTAAATATATATATGATATGTTGACGGTTTATGATTGATGTTAATGACCGTCAACACACACCGTGGTGGAATTGGTGGAACCTGAAAGACAGTATAGTGGGCTAGGAGGAGTAGAGTAGTAGCTTACTGGCCCATGCCCATTCCTGCTTTGATCTAGGTGTGGCCCAATAGCCACTCCACCAAGGCTCCATGCCCCAATGGCGGGCGATGGAAGGTTGGCGACGCGGCGCGACCAAATTCCGACGTGATAATAGATTCGTCTAATTAGTCACCATTTATATAATTAGTTTTAAAATTAATTAATATTTGGTCCTTCGAAATTGCATCCAAATATGCAAGTATATTAGTGTTGTCTCATAGGTGGTCTCATGTAGTGCCACGTAATTTTAAGATGACTTAATAGACAACATATGCAATCGTTGTTTTTAAGTTGTCTCGTAGTAAATCATAATTCCTTATTATATGCATAGAATAAAAGTAAACTTGTGAGTTGCATGGCAACAAGAACTCGTTTAGTGGTACAGTAGTTGTCTCATAGTCCTAAATCTTAGCTCATGAGGTGGTTGTTTCGCGAAACAACGGCCTCTTTCGTCTCTCTCACCTCTCTCTTTCCTTCACGTAAGCAAAAATCCTACGTGGCATTGCATGAGACGGAGTATGAAACCACTGACATGTAGCAATGTACTTGCGATGCTAACTTTAGCAGTTGAGATCCAAACAAGCTATAATTAATTTTGTGTTGTGAGTTTCGGTTGAAGGCTATTTTATTATTGAGTAAATTATGCTAGTGGTCCTTAAACTTGTTAAGCCATGTCATCCCGGTCCCTAAACTATCAAACCGAAAGTTTAGGGCAGTACTAGCGCCCGGACGGACGTCCTGATCATTGGAGGGGCAAAATGTTTCGGCCTTGCATCCACTTATTTAGGGCAGCACTAGCGTCCGGATGGAAGCCCGTGTCTGGACGCCCGCGGCTGCTGCACGCCCACGCTAGGCAAGGGCCACCTGCGTCGCTCCATGCGCTTCCCCCTCCGCTGCCAGCACCGTCGAGCACCGCTCCATCCTTTCGCTTCCCGCACGCATGCACGGCGCCCTAGCAGCTGCAGCAGGCGGTGGTGGCAAGTGAGTCACATTGCAACATGTGCAACACTAGATCTACTTTTGAAATATCTAGATGAAACATTTGCAACATGCGTCTGAAGACAAATGAAACACTTAACATGCGTCTGAAACACTTGCAAAAACACCTGAAAACACTTGAAAAAGACATTGCAAAACATATGCAGCATCCAAATAAAAACACTTGTAACATATGTGTAAAACGTATACAACATCCATTTAGATCACAGTTTGGGACTGTATTGATGTGTGTTAATTTATCTCACCTTGAGCAGCCACGTGATTCCTGTCTTTTTTTTTCTTAGTTTCCTGTTGGTGGAGTTGTTTTATTAGTTTCCTAGTCATCTGGGGGCCGTGGGTTGCAAATAAACACAAACACTATACTTGCTTTTTCAGAATATATAAATTGCCTATTTAAGAAGACATTGTTGCCTAATGAATGACCCTTAAATTGCCTAAAAAATGCAATCCACTACAACATTACCATATTTGCCTAATGTGAGTTATTGATTTCTAAGCATACATCGAAATACAGGATGTCGTACATTATTGAGCTAGTTGCCCTTGTTGTATTGTCATATTTTAGGCATTGCTTCCTGCTATATACAAATGTAATGACAACACGTCTTTTTTTGTGCATGCATTTACAGGGATAGTTCTTCGTACAAATGCCTAGAGGGCAGACGTTTCATGGAGTGTGTGCGCCAGCGTCCAATGGCAGCAACGAGGTATGATCACACATACGCAAAGGAAAAACACAACCATTTTCTTAGGCAATTTAAGTGTCATTTGTTAGGCAACAATGTACTCCTAAATAGGCAATTTAACCTTTTGTTGCAAATCTGGAGGTAGCTCAGTAAGATCTATATTTGACACCTATATGATGATTTCTTGCATGCAAGTCAATAATTATAAATGTGTACTGCTATATCATGACATGTAGTTAGCTTAGTCAAACTCATTAGGCAAGGCAAAAAAAAAAAAAAAAAACCCCACAAGGTTATGCAATTTTGTTCAGGAACATGCTATGGTGTGGCTCATGTTTCAATGCATTTACATACACCAAAGTTTCAATGCTTATATATGCTATATGACATCTGATTGCTGCAACCGTAAATCTTTTAACATTTTTAATTGCAGATGTGATGGTCTCAAGCATCAACATGGGATCAAATGAACAAAGAGAACCATGTGCAGCAACAAGCGGGATGTATGGTGCATCAGTATATATGTTACCAATACAAGGAGGTTTAGTGCAGTAAGATGTATTTCTACCGGAGTAGTACATAATATCTACTTTTTTTGTCTATGTGTTCTAAGATGCCTGAGATGCTATACAAAACATCTCAGGATGCCCAGAATGACATGTGTGATGAACAATTTATATTTGATTTTGTCTTGCTTGGGTGAACATATCAAATTTGCAATATTTTGGGTTGTGGGCTAAATAATATCTAGCAAATTTAGGAGCAGCGAGCTTATTGGGTGATGCGGAAAGTGATAACGTGAGAAAAAATCTAGGAGCAGCGAGCTTGTTATGGGCTAAATAATGCACGGCTGGCCGTTATTAATTAGCATCTTGCCAAAAAAGGTTATAATAATTGTATTTTTATCAAAAAAAAGGCAAGGCCGTGCGATAGGCTATATTACGGCTGGCAGTAATTTAGCTGCTTCCATATAACAGTGGCCGTAATTTAGCTGCTTCCATATAACAGTGGCATATAGCAGCGTGCGACACCACCAGCTAGCAGCAGCGCATCGCGGCACGTCCCGGAGCATCATCGCGGCACGTCCCGGAGCGGCGGCGCGTGCATCGGCGAGGAGGAGGACGCAGAGCAGACCATGGCCCAGGTAAGCAGCGGGGTGCCGTTCCTCCCGACGGCGGCGTCGGAGGACGCGACGCTGCGCGCGTCGTTTGTGCGCGACGAGGACGAGCGCCCCAAGGTGCCGCGCGCACGACCGCTTCAGCGACGAGGTGCCGGTGGTGTCGCTCGAGGGCATCGACGGCGGGGGCGCGCGGCTGGCCGAGATCCGCGACCGCGTGGCCGCTGCCTGCAAGGACTGGGGCATCTTCCAGGTGGTGGACCACGGCGTGGACGCCGCGCTGGTGGCCGAGATCGCGCCTTGCCCGCGACTTCTTCGCACTCCCGGCCGAGGAGAAACTCCGCTTCGACATGTCCGGCGGGAAGAAGGGCGGCTTCATCGTCTCCAGCCACCTCCAGGTACCGTATAGCACGTGCGTCTATACACGCGCAAGCTGCTGCCTTCACGTATTAAGCGTACGTGGTCTGCTTGCGTGATGCCGCTGTTCTGAGTCTTATCTATCTATCTATCTATCTATCTATCGATCGATCGATCGATCGATGAACATATTATTAAAATATAAAATAGACAAACACGTACAACACGCTCATATGGTTTTGCAAGGGGAGGCGGAGCAGGACTGGCGTGAGATCGTGACCTACTTCTCGTACCCGTTGAAGGCCCGCGACTACTCGCGGTGGCCGGACAAGCCGGTGGCGTGGCGGGCGGTGGTGGAGCGGTACAGCGAGCAGCTGATGGGCCTTGCGTGCAAGCTCCTGGGCGTGCTCTCCGAGGCGATGGGCCTAGAGACGGAGGCGCTGGCCAAGGTCTGCATGGACATGGACCAGAAGGTGGTGGTCAACTTCTACCCGATCGAGGTGCCCGCAGCCGGACCTCACGCTGGGGCTCAAGCGCCATCACGCTGCTGCTGCAGGACCTGGCTCACCGTGCAGCCCGTCGAGGGCGCCTTCGTCGTCAACCTCGGCGACCACGGCCACGTGAGTAGTCTCCGTTCGTTTGCCGGCCGTTTGCGGCGATGATGTGTGATAGCTAGCTGGTGCTTATTACGTATGACCAATGAACGTGCATGCATGCGTTCGTGTGCAGCTCCTGAGCAACGGCAGGTTCAAGAACGCGGACCACCAGGCGGTGGTGAACTCGGAGTGCAGCCGCCTGTCCATCGCCACGTTCCAGAACCCATCACCTTCTCCGAGATGTACCGCCGCAAGATGGCGCGCGACATCGAGCTCGCCAGGTTCAAGAAGCAGGCCAAGGCCGACAAGCAGCTGCAGCAGCAGAGTGCCACGGAGTTCGCCGCGCCGAATGCAAAGTCTCTCGAGGACATTCTTGCCTGATAAGGCGGCTGATCCATTGATCCACGGTGTATATACCGTGAGATTCATTTCTAAGAACATATATAGCTACAAGCGTGTGGCAATTAACTTAAGCGCTACGAAATAATGTGTGGATCGGAAACTGAAAACCAAGGCAGCGCTGCTAGTGTGCTATGTATTTCTTTTTTCTGAAAATGTGTTTCGTGTTGTGAATTCTTTCTGTGGGTAAATCACTCTAGGATCACGTGCCACAAAGTTCCACATTGTCTAATATATACATTTTCATCGTAACTTATACGTTACTAGTTCAGTGCCCGTGCATTGCTACGGAAACAAAAACTATGTAACGTCCAAAAACTTTGACACGAACTCTTATATTTATTTACAAGCTTCACGTCATAGAAACAGACTCTTACATTTACAACTACAGTATTGCGCTGTAAGGAAAATGGACCATAGTCCCATTTACTTTGGATTTTGGTGTTTGATGACCAACACGATCAAATTGGACTAAAGAATTTACACGTGTTTATTTTGTACTTCAATAGGGTGCAAGACGTGACTTGGACGAAGGCGACGTAATGATCCGATGATCAACACCGTAAGCAAGATCTTAGAAGCATAAGAGAAGACCCAAGATATCAATCAAAGTCCAAGCACGAAGATAGGAACTAAGTTGGATGCAAGATCGCGAAGAAACGAGCTCACAGAGGTGACAGGACGCTGCACAGGACGCTGCATCGGACGCTCCGATGCACAGGATGTTGCACCGGACGCTACACAGGACACTGCACCGGACGCTCCGATCAAGTGGCTCGGCAACAACAGCGACGGACGCCGCAGACCGGACGCTCCGATTTCTTTTTTCGAGTGATCAAAATGTGTTTTCGTGTTGTGAACCGGACGCTGGTTATGGTAAAAGGTGAACGGCTACTTTCTCGGTGAGGCTTATAAATAGACCCCTCAACCGGCCATTTGAGCAAGGTGGAGTTGAGGAAACATATTTAGGGTGTTGATACACCATTTTAGTGATCTCCATTTGTATAGTGCTTAGTGTTTTATTAGGTGATTATCATAGGTGCTTTGCGAAGTGCTTAGGTTGATTAGACCACCGCTTATGCGCTTGCTCTAGGTTTAGACCTAGTGTTTAGTGAGGTTTGCATACCTCTTACCACTCGGTGCTTGCGCCTTTCATTGTTGTACATCGGAGGGGCTTGTAGTCTTGCGAGATCATACCAACCGCGTTTGTGGTGTGGCCGCCACCGTATACCGGAGGGAACAAGGCCCGCGACGTTTCGGCTGGAAGCTTGATAGTGAAGACGGGGGGAGCATCCGGGAGAAAACTCGGAGACCCACTTGCGTGGGGAACTCTAGTTATTTATTTACAAGGGGCTCCAACGAGGACTAGGGGCGAACATCGATACCTCGATAAAAATACCGGAGTCGTCGACGGAAGTTTACATATCTCTACCTTGCTCTTTAGCTTCCGCATTTACATTGATTACATTACTCCTTTTGCGGTAGAGATAACAACACATTAGCAAAACCGTAGTTGCACATTTAGATAGTTTATCTTTTGCATATGTTTTGCTAAGGGTAGAAAAAGAGACCATAGTTTAGAGTTAGAATTTTAAGTTGCCTAATTCACACCCCCCCTAGGCGTCACGGTCCACTTCATGCGCATCTGACTCATACTAAACACAAAGGCAATCACTTAACTAATGCCATTGCCAATCAAGGGGCTCACATCTAAACAACTACCGGTAGAAGGATGCCTTAAGTGAATTTATGTTATATAAATGACTTCATAAATGTCATAAGATTTACCCAACGGGCAATATTTGTGATGCTGTCAACAGATTCAAATTACACCCTTAGCTCATCACAAACTTTGAATTGTGCAATCTTATTCTTACTTTCAACAAGGCTATCCGGCATGCCAGCTCAAAGTGCCTGAGCAGCTTCATTGAATTGAATCAAATGTAATTCCGTTAAGCTTTTCCGGAGGCGCACCAGTCAATGTTGTCACCTGTCAGCACAGCATCTGCGTTTTTCAGTACATCAGTTACTGTAAGCTGCTGTTATTTTCTCTCCACTTTTGCAAGAGTTTTGAGCTCTTTCCTGATGTCCCGTTTAGTGTTCCTATCTTAGGCTTCAGCAATTTGCTATTGAGCACCTACAAGAGAGAGGACACGTATCAAGAAAAACCTAACCACAGAGAATAAAGAAACCGAAGTAACAATTATAAGAGCTTCGTCAGTAGTTTGTTGTGATTTTCTTCCTTCCTTTTGAAACCAAGTTGGATTGGCTTTTGAAAATCACAACCAATATGGTAGAAAGAACGGAAGTTTGGAACCAGTTTGAATTTGAAACACTCGACCTATCAGAAAATATAGCATTTTGTCTGAAATTATGTGGTGGTTCGTGCAAGTTAACCAGGAATTGCTCATAGGGAGCAAACCTGAAAGTGCTGTTGCAAGGAAGAAGTGGTAAAAAAGAAGATTGGTTGCATCCTATGCATTTCCTTCTAGTAGGCTATGTACTTTTTCCAGCTCCAAGTAACCATGATTTTCTGGTTTAGAGTTTTCAACGAGTAGCAGTATGTTCTTGTGTTATTTTTCAATTGCTACAGTTCATTGCTTCTAGGTTATGTTTTCTGCAATTAGCAGTAGGCTCTGTACTAAACAGTTAGCAGGTTGAGGCTTGCTATTCATGATTGCATATTTACTACAGTAGCAGACTACATATCAGTGCTAGATGGTTCTCTGAGGAACAGAAAAATAAATTGAAAAGTGAGAAGGGTTGCTTCACATTAGACCTGAGCACACAGAATCTAAATGACTTCACTGCAGCTGTTCTTCCCACTTAAAATAACCTTCTTGGCATTCACCTTTGTACAACAGCAGCACAGAACGAAACACACATTATATTAGCACATTGGTTCATAAACATCTAACAATCCAATGAAGATTCAAGTTCAGAAATTTCTGATGCTAGGCCTTGGCCCGCCAATGGACAAATACATACACCTTTTATGTCATGCCAACAAATATATTAAAAGGTAAAATGATTGAAAATGCAGTGATTAGCTGGTAATTCCTTTACATTAGGGAGCTACTCATGTTGCTAAAGTACTGTGAAACTCAGAAACTCTGTAGCTTCTCATGTTGCAACCCTGAAACTAATTTTTTTGAAACTACTAAAATTAATGCAAATCTGTACCATCTGTTCTTAGGGATGGAATTTTGTTACCTGTTTCTAATTGTGCATGAATTGTATCTTAGAGTTCTACTGCAGTGCACCAAAAATTCTAAACCAAAAAAATAATATTCATATTCATTCAGATAGATGTGCACTAAAAATTCTAAATTCAACTGGATTTTGATTTAGATTAAGAAGAAAGCAAAAGAGGGCTCCTGAATTTGCTCTAGAATTGTATCTTAGAGTTCCAGTGCACTAAAAATTCTAAACAAAAAACAATATTGATATTCATTCAGATAGATGTGCACTAAAAATTCTAAATCCAACTGGATTTTGATATGCAGCACTTGGTTCAGTTTATTAGGCATCCACGATATTCTAGAGCAGGCAAAGTCAAGCATCAGGCATTGAGAAGCAGAGGCCAAATTAGATGGGACTGTCGGAGGCCGTTTTAATTACACCGTGTTGACTGCAGTTGAAACGCGCCGGCTCATCCCATCTCTTACAAAGTTGATCCTGAGCGTCGGCTCCAGCAGCGCCGTGTGCACCTCTGCCAGCAGCGACTCCTGCATCGCACATTTGAATTTAGTTTCAGTCTTGAGAATATAGGTTGCATAGGAATGATTCACCCATTTGGCAAAGTTCAGGTTGTCAAATGAAACACACGATTCAGAGTTCATGTTCTGCTCTTACTAACATGAGTTATATGACAGCATGTGAATTCAGTTTAAGTATGAATACTAAGGTACTAATAGAGTACTAATTGCACCGGAAAAACTTGTGGTTTATGATGCCATGAAAGTAGAAACAAATAGCATTGATGCACTTGCATAGATTATTTTCAGAACAATTAAGTATGCAAAGGGTAACTGAATGTTGCATTTTTCATCTAAATTTGAACTGGTATGCAAAGGAAAACAGAGTCCATATTGCATTGACTATCCCTTTTTGCTCTCTCAAGCTGAGAACACGGCACTGCAGTCCAAATTATTTTTTTCTCCAAGTAATTGTATGTGAGTTCATTAGAGTACATCTCTCTAACCTTTAAAGTTCTGCAGTAAAAGTCCTGTTGACTTCATATTTGCACTTGCACATCTCAGTGTACCAACCACGACAGCAGCACGTTAATCGGATTGAACCAATAGGCCTAGCAAACAATCGTAGCATACAGCACAGAAAATTTTGCACCCATTTGGCGACTCGGAGACTAAGGCGCAGATCGATTGGAACCAAAAGGTAATAAAAAAATGAACCAATGAAGTCAGAGACAAGGGGCCGACCAGCGGGTGAAGAACTCGACGACCGCGAACGACTCCGGTGAGGCCTGGAGGAAGGCGGTGAAGTTGGACGCGTCCCCGTCGAGGTCGAGGGCGAGGGCGCAGGGGCGGCGGTTTGTTAGCGACCCGATCGACGAGACCAGACGCGAGGAAGAAGCACAGTGTTCTCGGGCCGACAAGGTCCCGGATACAAGCGTGAACTGGTTTAGGTTACAAGAATGTCGATGATGCCCTCTCCTGTGCTCTGCCTCTCCCATTCTACTCTCCTACAGCTGGGGCGCACTGGATACAAGCCCACTGCGGGCCGTGGATCTTGGAGTTCTTGCGATGGGCCCGTTTGCTCCTCCTTGGCTGCTGGGCCGACTTGGGCGGGGGTGGGGGGCGTGGTTAATTACGGAGAGGGGGCGATTAGGTGTGCGGAGACGATAACACGCGGGTCATTTTAGTCGTAGTAGATAGATGTTCAGAAATATGCATTTTCTGAACGAAATGGCGATCGACATGAGACTTGCCGTTTACTAACCTGCCGTTGGTTTTGCAATA